GATTTGGTAGCGTCGGTCTCTTCTTGATTGTGATTGAAAAGCATCAATGGATTTCTAAAATTTCTGGAGAGCTTTCACAAGAAAGTGGTCACGTAAAGATACCGCTGGATATTGTGCACAAATTTTGCGCATTGAAAGACCGAAGGCGAAGGAGTGACGTCGCCATAAGTAAGAGGGCTCAACGTCCTTTATTCGCATCAAGGAACAAGCAGTAGTAGACTTTTGTCAAATTTTGAAGGCGACTATTCAAGCCAACAGAGACCGAAGTGAAATCGCAAATGGTAAGCATGTTTGCAAGCTTCCATTTGCCAACTCTTTCAGTTCCAGCACTTAATAACGTGTAACTTGTGTACGTTATCGTCAAGTTATTTGTCAGTGCTACGATGCAATACTGGTTAAAGCCCTCGATGGCAGCTTGATTGACGTCGGTCACCCTACATCCATTCGCCCACAACAGGAAACCCACATCCAACCCACACATTTCAAGGAAAAAAAATGCTTGAACCACATAGGGTTATGCATAGGCTTTGAAAATTTCACTTAAACTCATGCGTCACCGCAAGCTCATGATTCAGAGCGACTTCCAGACAGGCCAAACTGAATCAGTGGGATGAAATCATGCATAATCACCACCTTTATGGTTACTGAGTTGTGCAAAATGCTTCCTTAGGGCCGAGAATTTGGCGTCAAAACGAAATAAAACGTCAAACAATGCACCACGCTACGCCGAGCACCAACTGCGAACAAAAGCGCCCAGTCTTAACTCACTTCTAAAAGCGATAATGGGGAAGGTTGGCCGTTAGAACACACGCTACAGCACACCAATTCTGTAAATCAGTGAGCAGGAAGCGATCTCACACCGCAAGTGCAGGTGCAGGCAGTAATATAAAGCTCGAAAGCCAGCTTGTGTTAAGTGCCGAGAGGAATGAGACAAATTCCGGTTCTTATAAGGCAATGTAATGTGTAATTCGTTGTTAACATTGCATTAAATACAGACTTATTAAATAAAAGTTAGGTATGAAGGGAGAAATCAGATCATGCTCAAGTATGTAGATAGGACGAAGGGTAAAAAGGAGCGCACACATGAATGAGAGATGATAATCTTTGACAATAGTGCAGTACGCATGCAAACATAAGATAGATTAAAGCAACTGCGGCTAGATCAGAATCATGTAAACCACGAAGAAGTCAGAAAGTGAAAGACTTTAAGAAGGGTGCAACAAGGAAGAAAGAGGTATCAAATGGGGCCATGAATAAATGCTGAACGCTACTCCGTCTCAATGGGTGGTAATTAGAAGGGAGGTGGATTAAGGACACGCATCAAAGTGGTGTCGTGGTTGGTTTGAGTGTTGGAGAGAACAGGCGCACGATGAGGCGGCGGTGGAGGAGGAGGAGAGCATTTAGGAGCTACAAGAGGGGAGCTTTTGACAGTGGCAGTGGGGGCAATGTCCGTTGACCGCCTGAAGGTCGAAAAAGCTGTCCTCAGTTTCCCACGCATAATTGAAGCAGAAGGGGAGGAAAGGGAAACCGGCTTGGGTGGTCCTGCTGGCGGAGGGCTGCCACTTTCTGCAGAATTCTACAACTCGCAAAATTGATGCCCTTCTGAAGAATAAGAAACTCAGTTGCCAAAAGTATTAGTATTCTGTTACAAAAGCACCAAATAAATGTAAGCCAATCAAGCTGGGGTCCAAGCATTAGCAAATCGGAATCCCCATACACAAGCCGCAGAATATCAAGGAGTACCAACCATTACTCTTAAACGCTTTCCAATAACTACTGTCAACAGAAATAAACCTTATGTAACGCATATGACAGAGAAATATTTTGCTTATGTGTGCTAAAATAAAGTTCACCCAAGAGTAGTGAGAAAGAGTAGAGTTGTTGAAGGGAATGAGAAGTAGCAACTGCTTCGTTTAGTCATGAATGTGTGCTTGGTCATAAATGTCATCAGCATGAGTGAACCTAACCGGTTTGCATGAGCCTTGTATGCCTAGATGAATTAGAGGATGAATTTCAACTTACCCACTCCTACCTCATGATCAGGGTGCTCGACGCTACAAATCAAACAGTAACGCATTTTTTAAATGGGTTTCGAAAAAAAACCCACAATGAAACCAATACAATTGATGTCTTCACACTTGTAATTTATGAGCTATTAAATGGCTGATAAATGAATCAACCGAACCTTGCAATTGGCCAGCCAAACCAACACTCGGAATTAGATTTGAATATGGGATAAACTACTCAAAGGTCCAGCCAGGGCTGCTAGGCGTAATGCTTGGTTAAATGTCAGACCAAGTCTTAAATGCAAAATCAGACAAGCGGACGCGTAAACAATCGGTGACAGTGACAAAACTACACCAGTTTAAACACCGTCACTTCGACCGTTTAACTAGAGTGTGGGTAACTAAGTTTAGAGCCACGCGCATGCAAAAACGAACGACACAACTTTCGGACAATCAGTGCAAAATCACAAATCTAACTGCACCTTCAAGAAGGCCTTCCCAAGTTCTAAACTTTTGGCAAACCGATCCTGGATGTACCTAGAAAAGCTGCAAAGAATAAAGGCGCTTCCGAACGGGTCTAAGTGGATTTGCGTCGGTTAAACAAATAAGACTCCATCTCATGTGGGATGAGTCACGCTTCAGACTGCCAAAAGGACACGCGAGCCATCTTGGTTGCTTTAGTCTCCATAAGACAAGCGAAATTCATGCATACCACAATGTACAAGCAGCGCAGTTTTAAACAAAATGGGGAAATTCAGATTTACAAATACATAAGGAAAATAATACTAATAATAGTAACCTGGTTATTCGAGGTGGCAGGTGGTCGGCGGGATGTGGGTTGTACACGGGGTCGAACCATCTTAGTGTCAGTCGTTTTGGCAATAGAAGAAGGACGAACTCCACTAGGAGCCGACTTTGGACTTATTTTCGTGGTGCATGCTGGTGTAGAACTTGCCCGCCCGAAGGTCTGAGTGTATGTACAAAGAATGATCTAACAAATGCTGTACTTGGGGCAAACCTTAAATTTGCTAAACTAAAGGCTAATTAGCCATTGGGGAATAACACAAGTCGTTACGTCAAAGAAGTGGAGGAGTTTGTAATGAAGTAGCTAAAGTGATAGAAAGGGGCCGAGGCAGGATGTCATGCGCCATACAAGGTACAGTATTTCAGGCAGGCAATGACTAAGTGATTAATGAAGCTCAGCAGCCGTAAATTCAAGTTTATTCCCATAGGTCCCGGTTAAAGACGAGGAGAGTGCTATTTTGTTATTGGTGATGCATCACCACTATTACGCTACATTATTAGTAGGCCGCAACATCTTTTGTTCTGAAAGGATACTAGGATTCGTGTAGTAAAGCAGTCCATAGCGGATACAATGAAACTAAGCCTATTAAGGAAAGGGAGATTTATAGCAATGACTATCTTTCCACCAAAAAACAGAACCACACTGCAACAAAACGTCCAGCACGTTTTCAGTCTTACCTCTTCGAGGAAGGCCCAAAGAACATATTAAATACGAAAAGAAACATACCAGTACAAAAGATGCCACTTAAGCGCAAGGTGGTTAATCTGCCGGAGTGCTATTATACGCACATTGGAAAGCACCATCAGAAGTAGCACTTGTTGTTCTAGTTTTAAAATTAGTCGTCCGGAAACGGTTAACATGTACCGATAGTCAACACATGGAGCCATTAATCAAATGAACTGTGCCGAACACACAACTGCCTAAGGGAGTAAAGACTAAAACCGCTTCAATGGAACGCACCCAACACAACACAGCTCTATGAAAACCTACCACAGCAGACGGTTTAACGCAGAGCATACTCCAAACACCCAATTTATACCAGGGATTTGTTTAAGGAGCCCAGAGAAAATGTGCGAAAAAAGCTTTTGCGTGTACAAAAAAAATAGCATTTATACATCTTGGATTACCTGACTTCCCTTAGGGCACTCCGCCTTTCGCGCATCTGATTTGGAAGCATGTAACGGTGCGGTGGTATACACATGTCCCGTTGGTCGCTTAACCTCAGAAGAAAGGTCGAAGTTGAAGGGATAGTTGAGTAGCTGTTCCACATGAGTTGTCAAATCGGCATAGAGGCCTTGTAAAGCCGAGCGGCACTGGCGAATAAAGGCTCCCTCACAGTAATAGCGCTTAATCAAAGCCTCATTGCTAACCAGAGAATTCAGCCACAAAAGGAGTGCTCGTTGACTAAAGGAATAACAAAGATAGAGCATGATGAACCTGTCGCAATACCGAATAAATGCTGCATAATGGAGGAGTAGGAAGGACGACAAATGAACAACAAATGGCAAAACGACAAATCATTCCCCAAGTTGGTCTATATTGAGAAAAACAGCAGGCTTGCGAACGATGGAAGCCTAACTGCTTTAAGGGAAAGGAGATTCACTCGCAGCACTCCCATTTGCAGCTTATTAGTGATGGTGCCCTGACGCTAGGATCGCACATACCAAGGCGTTAGATATTTTGACAAAACCACTATTTTTCAAACACAACGAGCATTCTGCCCCCATACAGCGCAAAAGTATTAAACAATCTCCCACTCTGTTGTAAACCCCACTTAAAACGCGACGCCATAGGTGTCGCATTGAAGGGTGTAGGGAAATGCCACCACTCCCCATTACTTGAAAACGATCAAGGTGTCAAAATTTGGTATTAGAAGATTGGGAAAAACGATATTTACCTTGAAATATCTAGTTAATTACTCCAAAAGCGTCGAAATTTAATAAATATCAAAGCAACATTGTCAAATTTTACAAAATCTACTCAACCTTTTTTCTGACAAAGAAGCGTACTTACTTGAGGCAGGCACAAACGAAAGCTCTGAACCGCAATTTTTCACTTATTGCACCGGTAATGGCTTTGACCTGATTAAGAGCCTCGTTCAAAACATGATGCTCGATTTTGCCAAGATATGGGGCTAAAAAATTTAAAACCATGTAGGCAAGAAAGTTAATTAACGGAAGTGGCCAAGTAGATAAATGTCATGCTCCTTTACGTTAAAATTTGAGGAACAGCTGCATAACATCGGACTGTTCAAGCAAGTCAGAGAAAATGCGCAATACAATTGACAATATTTACAAGGTAAGTGTGTACATGTTTCGAGAGAGCATATTATTACTTGTGTTACAGCCAAACTAAAATTCTGTTTAGGTCTAAAAGAGTCCCAAAGTGTATAAGAGGCGAAGATTTACTACGCATGGAAGAACTAGTGCTTGACAATGGCACTGCTCATCACCAAATTGGTGGACTTCACGCGAGATACAGTCATGAAAGACATGAAGAATGTAATTGCTACAGCGCCTCCAGCATTGTTCACACCACTATCACTGAAGGTCAGTTGAGGGTTAGTAATCGAGTGCGCACAATTCCCTCAAAGTCCAACTGTCATTCATTCCAGTACGTGACAAAGCTCTTCGCAAAATTTCACCGAGTGAGAAGCTGCACAAAATTAAGATACGTAATTATACCCATAAACCATTGACATAGTTAAATCAGAATTTTACTCCTTTTCGAGACTCTTTACGTGTGCACGTGGATTAAAGGCTCATCCCAAATAGATTAGAGGTAAAAACAGGAAAAGGGAGAATATGAAAGCAATGAAACACACAAGGTCTGCAACTATCCTCAACCAAAGCCCAGATACGAGACTTGGGTTTGCTCGCAAAAATGGCACGCGTTTGAGGTGGGAGAAGGCCGTCTGAGATGAGGACCATGAGAGGGTTCACCACCGAAACCAAACTGCTTCGACCTGAGCCACCTAGTGCTGCGAGCGAAGAATAGCAACGGTACTGATTATGTAACGGTCTGGAGGTGATAGACCCAGAGGAGGAAGAACCGGTAATGTTACTGCCATCTGGAGTGGCTATGGATAGCGCCGAATGGCAGAAGTAGGCAATTGTCTCTTGTACCGCCCTTATCACGTCCATCACCATAGCTGTAAGATAAAACAAGCATTGTAAATAGTTTTGCCCATTGAACTTCCCGCAAAAGTTGAAAGCATTACTCAATGCATCAAAAATGGTTTTTAAGTTTGAAATAACTATAAGCCCTTGTAAGTGACCCATGTTCTGCATAAAATTGTGGTGTTAAAATCTTTTTGAGATTATGACGTATAGATTCCGTCAAGTGTAGGGAACAAAAAAATTTGCACTGCGATCAAGAGACCAATGCTGAGAAAACAGCAGCACTGGTCGTGACGACTATACAACAAGTAAGCTATGTGAGCACCCTTGTCTGTTAAGAAGGCAAACCAAGGAGGTTCATTATGGCACGGCTAATTTAATCCACGTATATGCGTTCAATGGAATAAGGTGAGAGGAGAAGCTGGTTTGCTAAAAACCCTAGCATCTGTAACACACTAGCACCAATGGGTTCCCACACGAATGGTATCCTGGGGTTTTGAGATGGAATCAAAAGATGCAAAAGAACGACATTGCTGCCAAACTCATGCAAAGTAGGAGTGGCAGAGCACAAAGTGGAAACCTACAAAAGAATGAAATTCGCGTTGGTAGTAAAACAGAACGATGAACTTCTGGAGAAGGCGCAATGTAAATGATGTGTTTTACAAAAAACAGGCAAGCTCATTTAAGTTGAAACCGAACGCATCCCACGGGATGCAAACGGTGGGACTGTTAATTAAAGGCCTTAACATTCAAAAATTTAACCCCAACAACGTAATTCTTAGCGGATGCACACGAACGCCAGGTAACAAAAAAGGTGGTTAAAGAATGCTTCATAAATTTCGAAAGCCAGAAGACAGTGTACAAGAAACCTACAAAAAAAGACCGTACACAAAACAAAACGAGGGAAATACAGAAATACATTTAGACTGAGGTATATTCAGAAGTAAAGATAGTGATTTCAAAGAATATCAAGAATTTGTCCCTTTCAAATGCTAAATGCAAGTCTATACTCTAGCATCATGTTCGGCGACAATTCGTACGCGACTCAAACTCCTTTCAATGCATGTAATTCTTTTTAAAGCCAATCGCGTGGGAAACGAAATAAAATTTCAAACAGGCTCTCACTCGCTCGTTTCCATTAGGGAAGAATAGAAGTGTCGGTTGTTGCAACAATAGTGAGTCAACATCCAATACGCTACAGTTTTGTAACCATCACTCAGTAAAGGATATATCAGTGACGCAATCTACCCCTAAAGCATAAAAATGTGCTTGGGAGAAGAGGAGAGTTCTCAATCATGCAAAGTCATCGCAGCATGAAAGTGAAGGGGTATGCAGTATAGGACAGGAGTGCGGTTACAAGTGGAGCACAGCTGCGAGTTCAAAGCAGGCGACTCAAGGAGCAGTGCAAAACCGCCTTTGTAAATATTCCACAAATTGTGGGATAAATGCGTTATAGAGAATGTGAATAAAATCGCAGATTCCAGACGGAGTAAGTATAGGCGGTTAGAAGCGCCAAAAACAGTCGGAAGTGCAAACCTATGTAATCTTACAGGTCAGCACATTTTGTCAAAACTATTTACACCTAAAACACGATTCGAGGACATTGTGAACACCAGATCGCTCACCCAACCCGCCAATCCAGGTGACCATCAGACGCGGATACCCGACCAATATCGTCACCATAGTGGTAAAGTTCAGCACTAAGTGTGGGTCTTGATAATATAAAAAGTCCGAAAAACTAAACCAGTAGATAAAAAATTCAAAGAACGCAATTCAGTGTACGCACATCAGAAAGTTTAAACTGGATCACGTGATACAAGCAAAGTTAAACGCCATCAACTGGTAGCTCCATTACTCACCGTGATAACGTACATCCACATCTGAGGGACGGGTTGTGCTTGAAACGTCATTTATATCGTCATTTGAGGGTTGGAACACTGCAAGTGGGGGAGGATCTTGGCCATACAGTCCCCAGTTTTTTGGAATCACTAAAATCAGAAGGCCAGTATTCAAACAATTACTAGTAATTTCGAAAAAAAAGGAAGTTAAAACCAACTGCTGTACGGGTGAATGTAAAGTATCAGGCGGACAAATAGAAAATTTGCTCAGACGTAGTAAAGTGCCTGGAACAGGGAGGATGCCGAACACTCAATGAAAAGCAAACTTTCAGCAATTACGAAGCCTCCTCCAAACGAATAAAGGTATCAATATAAGAGGTGAGACATTTACGGAAAATATTATAATGCAAAAATTGCAGAAGCATTGCAAATTAGTTTTCCTACGTCAAACCACATTCCAACTCCCCTTTTGACAGGGAGAAAAATACTCAATTGAAGGGAAGAATTCCTGACGAAAATAAAGCCAGTTTAAATTGTATACTAAGCATTTCCTCATGGAGACTTCGTTACTCAATAAAAATAACTGACCTCGGTTTTTCGAAATATTACTTCTTACAAAAGAGATGCGAAAATAAAAATATGGAACATTATTTCCGGAACAGCTGAGCTTAGTTTTGGTCAAAATACGAACTACATGGCGCGGTAAAAGGGAGGCAATAAATAGCGCAAAGTGTACAGTAACGCCATTGCGCAAGAATAGTGATTTTTACCCTTCGGGTCAGGAGAGCCAAGGCGGTTTGGATCGGGAAAGCGACAGAAGTTAATACCTTCAGGTAACCTGTGTATATCACCGTTAAAACTGACACTTTTCTTATAATGATTTGGCTGTAACCTTGGCTGGCAAGGACAGAGAGGAGTGCCAGAAGCTGGCTGCACTTTGTGGGCCTTTTTTAAGGAAATGGGAATCGAAGCCTGAGAAGGCTTGTGCTCAGAGTCTACTACATCTGGTTCAGACACTGATCGATCCATTTCACCGACCTTAAAAAAGAAAAATTTTAGTCACCTTTTGAAATAAATCAAAAATCTGTTTGGCAGAAATCTTACCTGCGGCTGCGATTTCCTCACAATAATCTTGGCCAGGCGGGCGTCGTTCAATACATCCAAATTTCTATTTGTACACAAATCACTCATTCTCTGTTGAGTGGACTCAATTTCATTGGGTTGATCATTTCTAAAATTTGCGCGACGATTTGCCGCTAAAATCCCAGCTTCTCGCCCTGACATAGGAGCTAGAGATGCAGATCTACGTGACCCATACGACAGAGTGGGAACTCGGGTCATCGGTGTGCCGGATTTCGCTTCCTGCGCCGCCGCTCTCCCAAGTAGGGAAAGATCTGGCAGAGTTTGGGAGAGAAAAGTGTTACTTTCGATCCGCGATGGTTTCGGAATGGCCAACTTTCCCAAAACTGGATAAACTATGGCTGCGCGCGGATTCTTTATGCGGTAAAAGTTCGAAGCCTCCCTCAAACGAGACATACACTCAGACTCCGGATCAGCGGACATGGTCAAAAGGTTAAAATCGGGTAGCTCTGTGTTATGCTGAGATGTGAAGCAAGTCGTACCGGAACGATTAACGTAAAGCAGACGCCGCAAGGACCCAATGCTAGATTTTCTCGGCGGAACACTTGGTGGCTGGGAGATTTTAGGGGGAGAAACCCCAGTTCTGAGAAGGGCTTCGCTAGATTTCTCAACTGCATCATCTGTGGATCCAGTCTCCGCATCAAGAGACAACAAACCATTCGTCTGAAGGGAGAAGTTCGCAAAGCTATTATCACCCCTGAGTATTGTCCCTGATCTTTTTTCCGAACAGGAGCCTTCCTCGGTGGCCACATCAGTACCAGTGGAGGACGGGCAGGAGCTATAAATAAGATCTCTGGCACGAGCCCGCATGAATATCTCCAAAAGAGTGCCTGAATACCTATGCATAGCCTTCTGTGAGGCAGATCTGAGAGAAAAATCGGGATTTGGCGGCATCAACGAAGCATGCAAATTAGAAGTATACTTCTTTTTCAAAAAAGATTTCTGCGTTTTGTGTGACGCATGCGAAGCAGTGCGCTTAAGTTGCCCCCAAGTCGTGAGTCCACTTCCAGCAGCCTCTTTAATGGCTCTCCATGTGACAACAGATTCGGGAACGTTTGGCTTCGTACATTTTGGCGGAGAGGGTATAACTGTGGCGTTGCTAAACAAAGCAGTCTTTCTGACATTCAGTGATTCCCGACTGGTCCGAATTCGAGCCCAAGTTGTTGTCGCTGTGGCTGTTGTCGTGTCAGGCATCGAAGATTCACCACAACCACATTCAGACGTCGAAACACCAACAGACCGATACTTCTTTGGAGATATTAGCTTAATGTTAGCCAACGCGCGCCTCATTCCTGTGAGACTAGCAGTCGTAAAAATATTGCCATGGCTTGTTGATCGCTGTATTTTACCGATCCTCCTTGAGTTCCCACCCGTTGGGACAACACCTCCATCATCGAGTCCAGTTTGAATTTCTCCCCAAGCGAGCCTATAATCCAACGCCTCAGCAGTGCGTCTAAGAAGTTCCTTCAACCGAGGACAAGAACCCTCTAACATTGCTTGCATCCAACTTCCAGTCACGGATGAAGGTGCGTATATCGGAGGTTGTTGAAGTTCACTAAATGTTACTGTACAATTATCAAACAGCTTGTCGATTCCACTCATGTCATATGGGGCCGCTGAAAAATCGGCTGAGGCTGTGCGATGAATGCGCGCAACATATCGAGTAGTATCGGGCGCACTTGTGCTATCTGGACAACAGCTAGCGTTCTGTGAACGTTTACAAGCAGAAATAATTGACGACTCGAATCGAAGCCCAACTTGAGCATCTGCGCCATCATTGCCGCAATCAGCAGAATCCGGCTGGGTGAATAAGCAGGAATCAGAGCGTGAATGATGAGGCGCTAATACACCACGCTTGACAGTTCCGGAAGACGATATGCCCTCGTCACTTTCATCATTTAGACCTTGTTGAGGTAGGGATGATTCGTCACGTAAATTGGCATCAAATGGAACAGCAAAATCATCATCAAAGAAGTATTCACTGGGCTCAAGCAGAATGGATGCACTATTTACACAACCATTTAATTGAGAATTTAGCACAGTGCTCTCAAAAAAACCGCCAGTTGATGGACATTTTAAACCAAAGTCCGCCACCCTTTGAGAGACCATAGGTTTGTCCATACTATGTGGTCGAACGGAAGGCTTCAATGAGCTCTCAGATACTAGGTTTTCCATTTGTGAATGGACTAAGTAAACCAAAGAACCGCTCTCGGTTACGATGGCGAAATCAGTTCCCTAAAGAGACAGCAAGTACTTTAACCGGCATAAACAGCACAAACTGAGGCGCAGAAACTAATGAAATTGATCAGATACGACAAACCCCAGCAAGAGTTCCAAGCGTTCGCGGTGTCCATGTATGACCTTCACGGGCCGGAACGTCGCAGCTTCGATCAAATCAAGTCAGTTTCAATATATGATTGATCTAATTTGAGACCTCTGCGCCGGTAAACGGAGGTCTGTTTTATATCTTTTTAAGCGAAAAATGATGCCACGATTGACTTTTGATTTAGTCAACTGAAAATTAAAACTTTTGATATAGTGAAAATAGTTGCAAATATTAGTGCTCAAAGAAATGCATTATAACTAAAAGCCATGATTATTAATGTTACAGTTTTAAGTTTTGGATCTTCTACTTTGTTTATGACGCAAATTGGGCACAATCCGAACAACTAATATTTGGACAGAGTTCTGTGTATATTTAAGCTATTTAAGGCATGTGCACCGGAAACTTCTTTGCACTTGTAGCACCATGTCGCATTTCTCAAAGTGTGTTACTTTTTACTCAAGATTATAAGGCTAAATAAAGTAGGGTACAATATTTGGCCCACGTTTGCACATAAATTTTGACTGACGCAGAACAGGTTATACGAGTATAAAACCTAGTTAAAAAGGGATTTTTTATAAAATGCATTCCAAGTTAAGGAGCTGGACGTGGCGCCACATTCGGGTTCGTTTTCTCGTGATGAATGGTGGGCTGTTGGGAGTTTGGCGCTCATCTCACTCTTCGTAGAGCTTTACTGAAGCTTGTTTTTAGTCATGATCGACTGGGTTCGTTTGGACGTTACAGGATAATTTCATCCTACTCGATTGCTGTATTTTGTGCACTTTGCGACTGCTAGCCCATCACACGGACTCCGCGGTTTGGAAAGGGTTGGGGAGCTAGATTGGGACGCAAAGCTTGTTCTTGCTTGTGTCTATATTTTGAACCTTTTAACGGAAAACGGCATAAGGTTGAGCTTAGGCGGTATCTCTTGCCTTTTTCAAATACTTGGACCCAACATTTTACGTCAATTTGAGATCCCTTAAAAGGAAAACTGGCAGGAAATCATACTGGAGCGTATCGTCCAAGGGGTTAGGGTGGGTGAGCAGATGAAGATATTTGCAGTCACATTTACTAGGAAAGACGGGCTTTGACTCCGTTCTGAAGGGTGGTTCTCCGCACCTTTGGGTGTTTAGATTACTGTCGAATATCGGGCCTCTTTCCGTTGCGCACCTCCTTCTGTCTGCATTAGTCCTGGATCCAAAACGTCTTGGAATTGTTACGCGAGGTGGACTCCCCGCTGCAACTTTTCTGCTTTATTTTTCATGTTTGTGATGTGAGGTTGTGCGCTAAATGGTGCGTAAGTAATTTTGGGTTCCTGTTTTGGGTGTCGTTTACTTTTGCCAATGCTTATCCTCCGGGTTAGTGGTCTTGCTCGTGCGGATGCGTTGGCGTTGATATTTGTGAGAGAAATTCCGACTTAGTGCTGTAAGACAAAATTGTCGTTATTGAGTTTGCTTAATGAGTCAGGATGTGGGTTTTGTGTACTCTACAAGTGCTCTGTACAGAACCTTTTTTGCGCGATGCAACAGACATAGCCTATCTTATATGAGTAAGGCAAACTGGAGCAGCCTTAAGAAACCTTCAAAATTGATAATATTACGGCGTTGATTCACCAGTTTTTGTGTGATGATGATTTCATGATTGTTTTTAATCGCCCAATTTTGGTCTTGCTACTTCATTTCCATAACAGTAGGGAGCAAAGCTTAATTCACCTCCACATTCGGGCTTTTCGTTAAGCTGGTTGGTTGGTTGGTTGGTCCACCCCCTCTAGACGAGCATCATGTTTCTGCATTTTTTGTCGCTCGTTTGTCTTGTCTCGCGGATTCGACTTAAAGGAGGCATAAATGTAGTCAGACGAAAGTGAAGGCAAATAGTGCGTTATTTGAGGCTATAATGTCTGCAGTCTACTCGTCCTTTCAATTAACTGTGTGAAGGGTCTCACAAAAGCGTTGGCACATGTATCTGACTCGAAGGACGGTTGCAAGGTAAGGTCGAGCAAGTCGATTAGATACTGTTAATTTTATAGCATAATGTGAAAGTACGACTTTCTTTGCAACATGAAAATGTGTTTCAATGATGTGGAAGTCCTCCGACGTTGTGCCTGTAGCAAAGAGCTCTTGTGAGGGATATGGATGAACTCCATTGGTGTGTAAAATCGATGATACTGAGACGTCCAGCTCGTCTATTGTCTTCGTACAGCTATCAGACTTATCCACAATGCATTCGTAGTACGGTCAAAATGATTATCATTACTTTAACCCACTGTTGTGCGTTTTGGTCGCTGTAGCTTGTAGCTTTCCTTTTGACTTGAAACGGTTTTAAAATCCATTGACATTTAGCGGTCTAGTGGGTTAGCGCTTTGAAATGCATAGGCAGCTGTTTGCGTATGACCCATTGGAAGCATTCAAAAGCGCTAGATCGTGAATACGGACTCCTTCGTGCGGTCAGCATCAGACTTCCATGGGCACATTAACGCTAGGAGGTGTCACTTATCCACAATATTTGGGCTAATTCGCCATTTTCAAATTCAATTTCTCATTGTGCCTACAGTATGATCGACGATGCTGATGTTTATCTTCCATCAGACGTGGTCAGAAGGAAACTCGGATGCCTAATGCGTCACTTGGAACTCATGTGAAAACACTACAATAACGAAAAGCATTTTGAGCATCATAATTTCACATCTCTTGCGTAGTCGACTGGTTTCCTCATCGTTCCAGGACATTTATCATCGTCTCTTATTAAAGATTTGCAGTTGGTGTGGCAGAATGTCTCGTTTTATGACCATATCACCTCGATTACGCTCTCCGGGTGCTAAACTCAAATGTGGACTTTTGGAATCGGCCATTGTGCACTAGTGTGAGGTTGGAGTTTTCTACCGTTGTCATCTTTGCACAAATCTGTTCTCAATGCACTCGGCTGAAGCGTTAGACCAAACGACGTCGTTTAAACGGATAAAACTGTTTCTAAAGTCGGGATTCTTGCATAATTAATGGAAATCAAATAAGAGCTAGCAGCTTTTTTGAAGAATTATTAATGCTGTCTCTCGTAGTTGGACATAGAAATTGTTTAATTTGTGTGCTATTACACCACCAGGCATCGAAGTGTCTTCATTTTTATCAATTGCACAGACACAGAAATTCGAGGTTTAGAACCGACAAGCCACACGAAACAACTATTAACGAGAGGAGCACAGATACATCACTTATTTTTTTGCATTATTCCGGTCGAAATTCTTTCACCGCCACGGTGCTAGAGCCTTTTCAAAACTGGTTGCCTTTAACACAACGATTTAACGTGAATTCTACCTTTTTTCCTTTAGTAGGTGGTCTTTTGGTGAACTGGTAGATCTTTTTTCACCTCCTACTAATGACAGTGGATGAAGCCTTGCGTACTGATTCCAAAGGTGAGGAGGATCTGCTCTAGACTGTGGAACCTTTGTCGAGACATGGCAGATTGGGGCAGAGCTGCAGTGACTTGTTGCCGCTTTCATGTCAGAACATTTGCATTTATTTTTTTTCTCACCTCAAACAATCCCAATGCTTTAGTTCAATCTAAGGAACGTAGTTAAATTGTTTGGTAATGAGTGCCTTGAGCTCGACTGCATGGCAAGGAAACCCATTCTTAACCATCAGGTGTGCCTACTTGTGAATCACCAGTACCACTCAAATGACAGCACATTTGTGGTCTTGTGGGACACCCATGAAATAGGTGTAGCCTCGGAATCATCTCGATCTGCACCATTAACGCCTCTGAGCTTCTCATACTGATGACTGCATTTCTGCCTTAGTCGTGATTGCAAGAAACAACTTCCATCCACTTCATTAACCTTTGGACTGCCCTAATGGATTGTTAGTAACTTTAACCTTAGATTGTTAGGATCTGGGTATGCTTCGTGTTTAGCAAGTTAAATAAATTTCCAAGTCCAACGAGTATTTGCGGGTGTTAGCTCTTAGTTTTGACACACTATGGCAACATATCTGACAGTAGAAGCGATAAGATGTCGAATAATGTTTAAGCTCCCCAATATGGGCAGTGATAATACCTGCTTTTGCCGATGAAAACGGGCATTCCTACCCTAGGGTGCATGCATTTCGTTTTAACTGCCTGAATGTTACTTTCCTTCCTACCTCTGATGCTGTCAGCACACAGTTAGGAAGCTGCAACCGCGGAGAGTAATTATTCCTCCACAAAGTTGTCTGATGGCATTTACACAAACGCGCTGGATCTGCGCGCTTACTTGCTCCCACCGTTATAACCGCAACCCAAATGTGGGAAGATCGGTATGATGAAGATGAGGGGAGGGATTATTTGCTCCAAAATGCCATCGTAAAGGTCAGGCAATACTGTTATGCCAAGCCTTTCATCCATTAACTCCGCTTGGTCCCTCCAACCCTTATTTATACCGCTTTGGCGGTGTGAATTCTCCAACGTCTGAAATAACAAGCACAATGGTTTATAGAGGTCATCTTTCGTTGTTTCGATGGATGGGTTATGAAATTCATTCATTACAATTGCCTATTCTATTCACTGCGTATTTTAATCAAGTGTAACAATATTGCCTCATTTCTCATCGTCAAGTCACTTGTGCAGTGAATTTAGCCCTCATCTATGAGTCGTAATAAGTGTTTTTAACAAATGCAT